GGGATGTACATGGGGGCCGAACTCGACGGGTTCGGACCTGATTTGACGCTTCAGTTTATTTTCTTAGCAAAAAGATAAAGAAATGTCTTCAAGCAAAAGAATCCAGTTCCCAAATCAGAACTCCCGAGGGGGAAACCCAGAGATTTTGGAAGGAAATTTCGCAAAAGCGGGAACAGAATGGCGACGAGAGACCCATTGGATTTCGATGTCGAGTAGAGGAAGACGAAGATGGAACCCCGTCGCCGTCATCTCCGCTGTCCTACTTCGACAGAGATAGGCACGTTGCGTTCTTCGGAATGTTGTTCGATTTGATACCGTATCGCTACCAATCGCAGGAGATCAGTCGCCTCACTCTTGCATTCTTCACTATCTCCGGCCTTCACCTTCTCAAAGCCTTAGATCGCGTAACCTTTGAACTGTTTGGTTTTCCATTTTTGTTATGTTCAAAATTTTAGTTACGAATTTAGCAGTAATGTGAATTGGAAGTGAAAATAGCTAAACTTGGATTGATTACAAAGTAATCGTTTTTCGTTTAAGAAAACCTTGGTTTCAGTTCATAATGCTGGTCACATGGCGAGCCCGTATTGTGCTCTAGCCATACTAAAGACCGTTGGCTTTAATATATTGACCATAGACAAAGAATATTTATTGATATCAATGAGGAACCTTCAACAGCCAGATGGAAGGTATGCTACAAAGTATTGTCAATCCTACTTGTATTGGTTGTAAGGCCAATCAATATATATTGATGATATTCCCGTGCACAAACATAAAATTGAAAGGGAAAGGCCAGAATTTGTTTTTTCCTTTCAAATTCTCATGTGATAGATCTTGTAGATTGATTACTTTTGCATGAAGGTGAAGCTACTAATTTTGTTTCTCATAATCTTGCAGTTTTATGCCGGTGCATGTTGGCACAGAGACAGATCTTCGATTTGTATAGTGTGCTGGTAAGAACTAAAAGCATTACCTGTTACAGTTCAAGCCATATAATTTCAAGTTCTCCATAATGAAATCTTTGTTTAGCTAATTGATGTGTCAGCTGCTATCTGTTTTATGTTGGAGGATTGGAGTGGAATGGATAGGGAGAAAACCAAGGACTGCATCTTAAATTGTCTGCACTGCACTGCACTGCTGAACTCTCGATGATTTCATTTGATCTTTATTTTCTGCATATATTATGGCCGGTGTACTGAAGAAGTGATTTTATTCTTTCAGTCTTATGATGATGGCTTTGGCTTGTTGCCTGGTTTAGAATCACATGGTGAGTTAAATAATATCTCATCTAGTTGATCTATGATCTGTCAACTCAGTACATCTAGAGCGGGCCTGATCACTGTTTCTCTGCAATTTTCTTATTGCTCATAGTTGTCATGAAATTTTAAACAAATTCAGCCGAGAATGGTTTTGGTCGATATTTAACTGATTCCAATTCCTTTTTCCCTCTCATACTACTTTTATTAAATTTTCATGGTGTTCGGTGTAATTTTCTGGTGGGTGTATATTTTATTAGGAAAAGTTTCTTCATGAAGCAGCCCCATGCTATATTTCTTAAGTTCTTGATTCTGTTCACTCTGATTATGATACCAACACCATTAACCTTAATGATGCAGGGGGTGATACGTATTGTGCTGTGGCATCTCTTCGATTAATGGGGTACATTGAAGATGATCTTCTGTCAAAAAAATGCTACATCTTCTATCATAAATGTGTCGTTATTGCTCGACTGGTGCATGCAGGTTTACTTTTATCATTTAGCATCTAAAAGCATCACTAACCGTGCCTGGAAAATGTTGTCTTTAGCTTAACATGTAGAAGTTGACAATGAACCTCAAGAGAATCATTATAAGAGCTTAAAAGTGCTAATAAAGCAAACCTTTTTTGTAGATGATTTAAATTATTATCTGTGTGCAAACTCAAATTTTAAATTGGTTGTAAGGCAATTTGTGCATTTTCTATGCCTCAATAATGATCTCATCCTCTTTCCTCTCTTCTTTTTACAGGCACAGGCAATTGATGGCGGATTTCAAGGCAGAGCCAATAAATCTAGTGATACATGCTATGCATTTTGGTAAGAAGAAAAACCTTTGTCCATGGCATGGTATAAGGTGCCTTTGTTTTGATGAAATGATGTTCTTGTGTAGGGTTGGGGCAGTTTTGAGGATCTTAGGGGGCTACAAATTCATTGACAAGATTGCTCTACGTGGATTTTTTCTCAATGGCGGTTCTAAACCTATTTACATGGTTAAGATTTAAGAAAACTTGATCTTAGGGGCTGTTTGTTTACTTCAGAATGATTAAGCACTGAATGATTCAGAGACTCTGTATGAATTAGTTCTGAATGTGACATGTTTGATAATGGCTCTGAATCATTCAGAATGTACTTTGATTCTGAATCATTCAGAATGTACTTTGATTCTGAATCATTCAACACTGTTTTACTAAATCAGTCAGCACTGAATCATTCAGAGATGAGAAATAAACACGCTGAATGCTGAACGGTTCAACATTTAGCACTGAATAGTTCCATTTAGAGCCAAATAAACAATCCCTTAGTGTTTTATTGACAAATTTCATTATGTAAGCTCAAAGTATGGTGAGATCGGCAAGACATCCTGAATTATTTCGATTCTAATCATGATGTCCTTTATCACCGGATCCCGCATTCTCATGTGCTTCTCTCATTCATGACTTGAATCTCTCGTCGGGTTTTTATCACTTGTGCATAACTTGGAACATGTTGGTGTTGTCGCTATTGCTTTCATCCACTATTCACGTTAGTTTTGAGTTTTTTTATGAACAGATCAAACGTGTTGTATCACTGCACTCGCTCGATTTTGATTTGTCGAAGTTCCCTACCTTCTTACAGTAAAAGAAATCGACCCGAGGATTCTGTGCGGTGAAAAGTCACTCTCACCGCAACGGAAGCCTCAGTGCGGTGGAAAGACGATTCTCACTGTGCAATTTCGTCGAAAGTGCTTCGAGAGTCCGCCATCGATGTGTGGCCCTCTTAATGTGTTGATTGTCAAAAGCACTGCCATATCTTGGTATGAACCACTTACAAATCTATCAATCACTTTTAGGGTTAATTTTATCATTTCTCTTGATCAAATATATCTTCTAGAATTACGTGTATAATTAATATAAGACATAAATTATGGGACGGATTAAGTATAACAAAAATAATCTTATAATTTTTTATGTAAAATATTTAATTTAATATTAAAAATTTAAATTGCTAAAATAATGTACACCACAAGGATAATGTGATAAAATTATTTTATGAATCAAGCTATTTCAGTGATTAAAGGAATGGTTGTTTTTTTTATATATCATAGATTCGAGCACTAGATGCACTAGAAGTTACATAATATTTGAGCGTTTATTATCGTACCTTTAAAAATGATATTATCACTTGTAAACACTTTAGATTATTTAAAAATATTTCAAGTGATATTATATTCTTTTAATTAAATGCTTTAAGGTTATTTTCTTACTAAAATTATCAAAATGATAATGTAATATTTTTAGTAATATATTAGATAATAATATTTTTTGATAATTTTATTTTCAAAAATAATTTTATATTTCATTAATTAAACTACTTTTAAGTTAAAATAAATCATAGATTAATCAAATTAAAATTCAATCAATTTGTCAGTTTTTGGTGTGTGAAGAAAAAGAAAAAAAATAAAAGGGCACGGAGGGAATAGGGCCGTAAACGAGCCCAATCGAGTTTGAGTATTGCTGAGCTCGACTCGAACTCGAAAAGTTTAGAATTAGGCTCGACTCGAAAACTCGCAAGCTAAAAATTATCAAGCTCAGCTCGAACTCGAAATATAATATTGAAACTCGACTCGAACTCGAAAAAGTTCAAACTAAAAAAAAATTCAGGAGCTCGAACTCAAACTCGAGTTTGAGCCTACAAAAATCTTACATTACATTTAAAAATATATTTTAAAAAAATTATAATTAATGTATTTTTAATATATTTTAAATCATGTAATTTTAAAAAATCTAAAATTATAATATAACATTTTTTAGTAGCTCGTGAGCTTTTCAAGTTGAGTATTAAGTAGCTCGTTAATAATTCAAGTCGAGTTTATTTAATTCGAATATTGATCAAACTTCGACTGAATCAATCTCGAGTAACTTACTATTTGTCTCGTCTCATTTCTATCCATGTAAGAGAAGGGTGGGATGTCAAAATGTGATGATTTTAGGTAAGGTGGGGTTTACTTTATACCCAATTTACACTTTCACGGGCAATTTCATCTGCTTTGTCGTTTTGGTAACTGCCTATTTTTTTTTATTTTTTTCTTTTAATAAATATATTCCTTCATTATATTTGTGTATTTGAATATTGTTTTTTTTCTTTAGAAATATAAAAATGATTATATTTACTTTATCTACATATATTATAATATTTACTAATTTCAATCTGTACTTACTAATTTAAGAACAATTCATCAATCATATATTATAATATTTAATCTAAAAAATTTTAGGATAAATTATATGATGATTTAATTATAAGAGTTTAATTTTACCATTGATATTTTAATTTTATCAATCAAATTACTTAATTATTTAAATGATAGTAATCAAATCACATGTCCTTTACATTTGATATAGAAATTGATGTGATGATTAACATATTTGGTATAATTACATATTTAGTCGCATAACTTACACATTCGATCGATTTGATATGTGTCTCCCCATATATTGACAAAAGATGGTTTGATTGACATCATTAAGTGATCAAGTGGTCTGGTTGATAAAATTAAAAAATTGGTGATCAAATTAGAATCTTTGAGTAATTAAATGTTTACAAGTGTAATTTACCCAATTTTTATTCAATCCTACATTTCCCTAAATTTGCACCAAATCTTCTTGATGGAGTAAAAACTAAGCAATAATCACCCATTTGAAGAATATAACCATGATGCCAACATCAACAACAATATTTCCAAGAATCAAAATGAACCCCTAGATTATTCCACATTTTACAAACAAGCCCTCCTAATCTCATATTTTCTAGCAATTTAAAGCACATGTTTTGTAAGAAATTTACAGTACCAACTCTGAGTAAAGAAGATCAGTGAATCAATTCACTCATTGAAGTGATTACAAAGGCACCACCAAACAGCTAAGGAGAGACATGGAGATTAATATTAAAAATCAAATCCCCTCCCACTTTCAGTTTTTGGTAGGTAAAAACACTGAAAATCTTGTTAATTCAAATGGAAATTGACCATTGCTGATGAAGGACAAGAACCAGGAGCAAAAGTACTTGAGATTTGTGACTCATTGAACCCTTTTTTTTCTATCTTCTTCACCATTGTTACCTATTTCCTCCATTAATGTATAATCATCTTCTTCCTATGGAGCTTCTCCTCAGCTTCCTGCAAGAACCTGAACTTGGGAGGAGGTGAAGAAGATGATGACAACGTGTCTGAATCTCCACCGTTAGATGATTCAAACAAAGGGTTGAATGGTCCACAAGCAGCCTCCAATGGAGTAAGAGGAGGTGTCAAGAATGGAGGTGAAGCAAGTGGGGTCAAATATGGTGTTTCAACACTGAAAACCACACCTTCCTCGGACTCCAAATCCTCCTTTGTTTCTTCAACAATGGTGAACAATAACCCCGGTGGCCCCAAACCATCATCATCACCATCATCATCACCATCACCATAGGGATTGAAGAAGACATCCTTGTTGGACTGCAGATGATGATGAACATGGTGAGACGGCTGTCGTTGAATTCCGTGTGGACTCAGTGCTGATTTCTTCCAACAAAACATGTAGAACAACTCCGTGGCTGAGTTGTTGTAATCATTCTCAATGTCTACTGAGTTAGTTGTCAATCTCTTCTTCCACCATAACAGGTAATACAACTCGGCAATCAAAGCTAAGAACAGAAGAACAAAAACTATGCTCAAACCAAGCCCTACACTGCTCAAAGATTTCATTTTCACATCACAACAATGAAAAACCCAGAAAATAATAAATACCCTTTCATCAGCTCAAGAAACTAGTGAAAAATCAAAGGGGAAAAAAGCACAGAAAACCAGGGTTAATGAGAGGTTCCAATCAAACAATAAAAACCCAGAAAGTAAAATGATGAACTTTGACCTGAAAGTTGAAACATCCCCACCCCAAAGTGAGTTATATGATTATCAAAGCTATCCTTTTTTTTTTCTTTTCTTGAAAGTAGGAGTGGGTATGGAACTCGAATCTGACGGGTTTTGGTTCGGGTTTTTTTTAATTCGGGCTTGGGTCGGGTCATTGTAAAGTTGGTATTTGGGTTGGGTTAGAATCATATTTAGGGTGAAAATACCCGACCCGAAAAATAATTTTATCTTATATATTTAGGAATAATTATAATAATATCTCTCTGTATATTATTTTTTCAATTAAATCAATGTTTTTATTGAATAAAAAATATTTATTATTATTTTAAGTCGGGTTCAGATTTTATTTCAAAAATCAGGTCGGGTGTGACGGGTTTTGGTTCGGGTTTTTTTTTTAATTCGGGCTGGGTCGGGTCATTGTAAAGTTGGTATTTGGTTGGGTTAGAATCATATTTAGGGTGAAAATCCCGACCCGAAAAATAATTTTATCTTATATTTTAGGAATAATTATAATAATATCTCTCTGTATATTATTTTTTCAATTAAATCAATGTTTTTATTGAATAAAAAATATTTATTATTATTTTAAGTCGGGTTCAGATTTTATTTCAAAAATCAGGTCGGGTGGAGGATATATATTATACAGGTCAGATCAAATTTCGGATGAAAGAATCATTGTTTTAAAATCAGATCGGATGGACCAAAATTCCGACCCAAGCAATAGAAATATACAGTCATTCAACTTTTACCTGCAAAAATAATAATGTTTACTAAAACAGATGAATGAGTTAATAATTACTAATGTTTAAAGGTTTTCTTTTTCTATGAAAAGCACACTATTTTTAATCATTAAGCATGATTATGATTTTTTTCTCTAGGATAAATACAGAATAGGTCATTAAATTGTTTTTCAATAATCGTTTTGGTTACTAAACATTTAAACATTATAAATAGCCATTAAAATAACAGAAATATAATAAAATGATCAATAAATCTGATCGATTGTTATAAAATGGATATTAAACTTTATCAAATTGATACAAATCATAATTAAATTTATTTATATTTTATAATTATTATAATATTAAAATAATTATTTTATAATGATTCGATAAATTTGATAATGATTTTTTTTAAATTTAATAATTAAAACAATAATTTTAATAAAATTTAGTTACATCCAATGTTCTTTATTATTTTTGAAATAATTGAGTATAATATGAACAAAAATGAAAAGCATAACAACTACACAAACACCTACTAGTAGATAACTACAATTTTTTAATTAAAAATATATAAATTTCTATAAAAAAATACATTTTAGTATAACTACTTGTATATAATATATTATTCCAATTAATTTAAAATGTTTTTAATATGAGGCATTTTTTAATTCAATTAATTTCATTCACGATATTAAAATTTAAATTTTTAATAGCATAATTTCTTTTACTTTAAACATTATTTTGTAGGTATTTGAGTGTATTTTTAGTAAAAGCTTAATTATGAAATACTATGAAATTAGGGGAAAAACACTCTAAAATTGATTATATTTTAACTTTAATATTTATGATTTGAAATATAATTTTATAATATAAATTTAATTTATACTGTAAATAATATTTTTAATGTAAATATTAAAAGATAATAATTTATTTATATTTAAAATTTTAAAAGAAGGAGGGAGAAAAACCCTATCCGCTTTCTTTTTTCCCCTCTCTCTCTTCCTTCTTCTTTGTCTTTATAACTTGTATCAATTTTATTGATCAATCCAACTTTTTCTTTAATTATGTTTAACCGCCGGCGATACTAGTTTTGATGTTGATTGCCACCCAGTTGATTATCTTTTATCTTATTTTTTTTTAGTTTTTTAATAAGAATAATTATGTCTTTGTGACATGTTCTCTGTCTTTATGACACGTTTTTCTCTGCCTTTTGGTAGCTTACAATTTTTGCCTTGTTTTCGTTAATTTTTCAATGTTAGATTTGACATCGCCATGATTGATTAAGATGACACTTATTTGTTATCATGTTTATCTTCCTTGCTTTGGACCCTCAGTTTGATTTGGTTACGCTTTTGCGTTCGTGTATAGTTTTCTCATGTCGCTCAACTCTGATTTGCGATTTGTCGGTAGTCTTTCAATAGCTTCATCCCCTTTTATGATCTTTTACCTATGCAGTCATATTTGTTAGTATCTTTATTTTGTTTGAGTTTTTTGTTTAGGTTTTTTTAACATTTTCCTTCTTTGTTCTTATGTGATATAGGTGGCTAGTTTTTGTCTCTATGGTAATAGAAAAATGCCATAATTATATTTTAGGTTTACGATTATGCTTGTAAATCTTCATTGTAATTTTATATATTTTCTATTTCTAATAAAACTAGCGATTTTCTGTAAAAAAAAATTTAAAAAAAGATTAATGATAAAATACAAAAAATAACAATTTTTAAAACATTAAATTTAACCCAACTAAATTAAGATTACTCATTTATAAATGTTGATGAATTAGATAAAATTTAAGAATATACTTTTGTTGATGAAATGAATATGGTTATATCTTCTATAGGTGATTCACTCTTTTTGGTCTAGACGAAAAGTCGTAATTGATATTTAGACAGTGATCAAACGACTATATTGACGATGATAATATGAAAAAGTGTCTCAGAATGATTGTGTCCATCTTCTCTTTATAAATCCCCATATATGGCGGCTTAAATAGTATCTCTAAGTGTTGATGTCAGGACTAGGATCATGATACCTGTATGAAGGTTAACATAATGGAAAAGCCTTCTTGTTGTGGTCAGCTGTCAAGTTATCAATTGATTATGACAAATTATGTGGAGTCTGTAAATAGTTATGTCAAAGAATTATGATCTTTTAAAGAGTATGAGCATGTCCGTCTAATGACAAGTGTAGAATATGATCCGTCACATTATTCGAAATTTAGGGGTTTTACATATAAATGTCAATTAGGTTTGTTCATGTATAATATTTGTGTCCTAATGATATTCATGTATAATCTTTCAATGGAAATATCTCTTGAAGGAGGTCCTCTTAAAGAAATTATTCGGAGATCTTGATGTACATAGCGAAGAGGTTTAAAAGGGTATAATATTTTTCAATTAAATTGAATCTAATTTATATATATAATTTTAATATGAATAAACTTGATTGAGATTTGACCTATAAATATTTCTAATTTTAAGTATAAATAAGTGGGAAACTTATATTTTTATTTTTTATCATTAAAATTTAGAAAAATGAAAATGAAAATGAAAGGAAAAGAGTGTAGGAGAGATGAGCAAAGTCGTTTGTAATTTTATGGTTGAGAGGTCGCTGCCTTCGTGGGATCCTCACATGGGATCACAATATAAAGGACAGTAACGCATCATTAGGCCTTTAATTTCTTGTTTCTACTCTAATACAATTAGGGTAAATTACAAGTTTAGTATCTAAACTATTACTTTTGACTCGTTTTCATACTCAAATTTTATTATTTTTCAAAATCGGATCTAAAGTTTAATTTCGTTACGATTTGGTAACCGTCGTTAAAAAAATTAACATAACAGACCGATGTGACATTTTTCAATTTTTCAATGCTGAAGTGGTATTATCTTATGGTGACATGTCAACATCATCTTTAAGTTTTTAACAATAGGTACCAAAATGAAACTTAAACTGAATGTTGAGTATGATTTTGAAAAAAAAATAAAGTTTGGGTGACAAAATAAAATAAAAGTAATAGTTTTAATACTAAATGTTGAATTTACCCTGGAAATATATATAAAGAAAATATTATATTCAATGGTCATTTCATATATCAAAGAAGTATCACAAATAGTATAAATTATTACGATATATACGTAAACTGAAAGCAAGCGAATATAAAAAAAATGAGAGAATTTAAGGTCTAATTTGTTAAATTGTCCATTTTCAAATAGTTTTATTATATTTTTTATTTGGAAGATTATATATATATGATGTCAATGTTTCTTATACTGCAAAGATTTTTTGTTGAAATAAAGTATTAATCAACACCAAATTCAATATTTAATCCCGATATAACTCGAAGAATTATTAGATGGATCAGGCTCACCACGTCATCTGTGATCCAAACCAATAAAATCCATCCACCTCATGTTTTTCAAGGTGAATCTTCACCTTATTCCTACATATAAAAAAAAGAATGGATAGTTATTTAGAAATTACCTCGACATGGATGAACTTTATAGGTTGGGGCCATAGATGATGTGGTGAGTCGAATCTCATATAACTCACCCTTCAATTATCCACAAAAGAGTAAAAATAATGTTTTATCTTTTATTATTATGTAGTTCACACTAGGGATGGGAATTCTGAACCCGACGGGTTCCGACCAGACCCGACTCGATCAGGTCGGATTTTTTTTAAAAAATTTGGGTTCGGGTCGGGTTGAGTTTTTTTAAGTGTGATATTCGGGTCGAGCGGGTCGGGTTTAGGGTGAAATTACCCGACCCAACCCGACCCGAAAAAATATATAATTTTACCTTATATATTTAGGAATAATTACGATAATATCCATATATATATATATTTTAATTAAGTCACTGTTTTTATTGAATAAAAATAATTTTTTATTTCGGGTCGGGTTTTCTAAGTCATATATTCGGGTTGATTCGGGTGAAACCTTGTTTTGGTCGGGTCGAGTCTCGGATGGAGGCTTCCTTGTTCTCGGGTCGGGTCGGGTGGACCAAAAACCCGACCCAACCCCCATGCCCATCCCTAGTTCACACCATATGAATATTAAACATATAATACTATCATATAATTATATATAATTATATTAGCATGAGTTAAACTACCTCAGTAGTTAGGGAATTGTTGTTATTTTTTGAGGTCTCAGGTTTGAGCACCGCATACGTAGGAGTATGAACGTTCATTGTCAAATGATTGAGAGTTTTGAACATATATTATCTTGTATTTATCTCATAATTGTAAAAAAAATTATGTTTATGTCTAAAATTTTAATAAAAAAGTGTATGAAGTTAATAAATATGAAAAAAATAACATGCATATTTTAATAAAATAAATAAATATACATGCAATTCTAGACGTATTTGGGCTAATAATTTACAAGCATAGGCAAAAACATAATAGTTTAATTAATTCTAAAAAACATTTTTTAGTATAAAGTTGATATTTATTTATTTTATTTTATTAAGATTAAGGGAACAAAAACACATTGGTAAAAGTTGAAATGTGGAACTTTTGTCTTCCTTCATGGGGTATTTCACTACTTTACGTGGGGTGATTCTCAAATCCAAGAAAAAATAAATGAAATTAAAGATTAATTTAATTAGAATTTATAGTTATTGATTGAAAAATATTTAATTGTTGTTTATAAAATTAGTATCATTGCCGACGAGTGTTGGCACAAGTGGTTGATATTCATGAATTTGAGCTTGTAAGACCAAGTTCGAATCCTACCACCGTCACTCTTGATGGGTAATCTGTAAATTTCTATGTAAATCCTAATTGAGTCTAGGTATGCCCTGATCCTGAATTGTGAAAGCTAACCTTGACCTAAATTTTTGTGTATCAAAAAAATAAAAAATAAATAAAATTAGTATCATTTAATATATAGGTAAAAGTATTTAACTCCACAAATGGTCTCATGACTATAGGACATTGCTTTGTTGAATATCGTAACTATTAAAACTTATAAAATGGTCGCCTAACTATAAACTATTACTTTGTTGAGACATCCGACTATTAAAAGTTACAAAATGGTCACCTGACTATTTATATGTTCTAAACTCGTCATTTTTTGTTAAAATTGACGACAGACTGAGCTGGACGTTAACTTGTTAACACTGGAGGAGCCAAACTTTAACGAGGGGTGTCATTTATTTTAGAAATTATATATATATAAATTTAATATAAAATATTTAAAAATAATTAAAATTAATATATTTTTTAAATAATATTGATACCCTTAAACATAAATTGAAACCTATTATTCATTTTATTAAAAAAATTCGCAAAAATTTTAAATTTGACACCCCAAAATAAATTTTAACCATATTGTAACTTTTAATAATCATGGGACTCAACAAACCAATACCTTATAGTCAGGGGACCATTTGTATACTTTACCCTTGTTCTTTTATTTGTAAGAACATAACTACTCATGGAGACATCTTATCTTAGGGACGTTATTGTCATAATCAAAAGGATAGGTTTTGATGATATAAAACTTGCATTTTGGATATTATCATAAGGAATCACATCCATTACATGGAATGCTGAGAGCCTAATAGCATTAGCCCAAGATTTACGACGGGGAGATGGAAATCAATGAAACCCTTAAATGGTCACAACATAGCTCTATCCAAACCCACCGAACCGGAATCCAATAGATGTAGCGATATCTGCGGCGAATCTGTCGCATCAGTACGGAACATGGGGCAGCTAGAATGCGAATAAAGCCACGTATCTATACACGGTGCATGGTAAGAATGCGAGCATGCCGGCAACGTCTTCAACTCTTCGTCTTCTTCGAATTGAGACAAGCATGCCGCACACATTCAGTCATCGTCGGCCAAACCCATTCACTTCCGGTTCCTGAAGGTTGGGATGATTTCGGCCGTCGAAGTCTCCAAGCTTGTAATCTCCAACACTTCATGTCCGAAACCATGTCGTCATTGTCGTTGTTGTTGGTCTTGTTGTGCTTGTTGCGATATATGGCCTAGGAGGTTATTGGAGTATCGATGCCACCAAACGGTGGCGATACAATGGTAGATTGTTACGACCACGGCTGTCGATCCCATGCCAAATAAAATGATGGATAGTTTGTCTCCTCCTAGGAGGTTATTGGAGTATCGATGCCACCAAACGGTGGCGATACAATGGTAGATTGTTACGACCACGGCTGTCGATCCCATGCCAAATAAAATGATGGATAGTTTGTCTCCTCCGAAACCGTCATCGTTGTCGTCTCCCATGACGAAGAGTGTGCATGAAAATGTTACAGAGTTTTTGATAGGGACGAATTTGATGATTTGGGCATTGAGTTGGTCGATGATTGCAAAGATTAACATTGTACTATGACGAATATTATAAAGTTTAGCGAAAGCTACGTTATATAACTTATTTAGTTTCAACACTATTTCAGAATAAAATGTAATCGGCCAAATAAAAATTCAGCTACGATTAATAATTTTTTGAATTAATCGTTGGTATCCGATCTATTGATCGACTAATCCAGATCGGGTTCTACAGAGGCGAGTGCAACTCTCCCAACCCAGTTTGCTCTATTCGCAAATGTTAGGATTCGAACCCTTGGCCTTACTTATTTTTACAATTTAATTATTGGTTTCTTTATTTCTTCAATTATTTTTAAGTTTATTTTTTTATCAAATATAAACAGCATGTTCCACTAACACTATAAAATTCTTATGCAACTTTAGTTCCTAATATTAATAATAATTTTTTTCTTCCTATTAATTCCTTTCAAATCTTCTATACTCTCATTAATAATTTGTCTCAAAATATCTCTTATTAATTAAATAAAATATAAATCTTACTTACATATGAAAATATATATATATATAGAGAGAGAGAGAAAGTCGTTTAAATTAAAACTAATATGTATCAAAATATTATATAAAAATTATAATTAAATTTAAAGAGAAACTCGAACAACTCGAATTGATTCGACTCGACTCCAATTTCATAAACTCGATTTGACTTATAAAAATCTAAATAAAATTTAAATCATAAAATAATATTTAGCGAATTAACTAATTTAATTTTTTTTTTTTGCTTCACTCGATGGAATACTCACCTTGTGCTTGATGGTGTTCCTCATGTCGTATGCATAGTTTTTCTAACGCATTCTTGGCCTCTTAAACCATCTTCTCGATCTCTACCTTGGATATCTTCCCTTGTCGTGTTCTTCAAAATTTTAATATAATTTCATACTTTTTAAAATTTTAATATATTTTATTAAAAGTTCGTAACTTTTAACATAAAATCATGTATTTATTCTTAACATCGATAGAATCTAACCAACTGACTAAGTTTCGAATTCAGACTGTGCCGATCTTTTGTATTTAGGGATGGGCATAGGACACGAACCCGACGGGTTCTGATCCGACCCGACCCGATCGGGTAGGTTTTTTTTTAAATTTGGGTTCGGGTTCGGGTCGGATATTTTAAATGTGATGTTCGAGCCAGGTCGGGTTTAGGGTGAAAAATACCCGACCCGAAAAAAATAATTTTACCTTATATATTTAGGAATAATTACAATAATATCACTCTATATTATTTTTTTCAATTATGTCACTGTTTTTATTGAATAAAAAAATATTTTTATTATTATTTTAGGTCGGGTCGGATTTTTAAGTTATATATCGGGTCGGGGTCGGGTCGTGTGAAATCTTACTTCATGCGGGTCAGGTCAAATCTTGGGTGGAGGAGTCATTGTTCTCAGGTTGGTTCAGGTGGACCAAAAATCGACCTAACCCGAGCCATACCCATCCCTATTTGTATTGTATTCAATACAAGTTCTTATCCGTCCTTATACAGTTGGTTTGGTCGTTGTATCACATTTTCAGTTACTACTATTAGCAGTATAGTATAACTTTCGTTGTCATCCTTGATATTTTTAGGTGCGTTTGTTTTATTAATGCATGATTCTGCATGTATCGGATTCGTGAAATTTGATATATTTTTCGACGAAACGGATATTGGATTCGAGTTTAGAAAGTAAAAAAAAATGAACTGAATATTTTATGATCCAACTGTCATCGACAATGGTGACCGATGACGGTCGATAGTGACCGGTGTCGATGGTGAGCGGTGGTTAGTGACAGGAGAATTTGGTCGGATCTAGGAGTTAAATTGACATTTTATTTAAAGTCCAGTGGTCAAATTAGTATTTTATCTAAAATTTAATAATCAACTTAATATTTAATCTAAAATTTAAATTTAAATTAAAAATTATTTTTCTACTAAAATGTCATGTTATCAAACCAACCGTATTTAACATACTAGTGACCAAAACTTTATTTAAAAATAAATAAATGACCAAAAGTAAACATTCATGAAGCAAGAGTGATCATTTCATTAATTTATCCAATAAATAAAAATAAAAATAAATATATTAATAATTTGACTGAATTGATATAATAAATTAATAGAATCTTAACTTAATTATAAAATTATATATTTAACGTAGCTTTCTCTAAACTTGATAAATTTTCTTCATAGTACAATGCTAATCTTTGTAATCATCGAGCAATGCAATGCCCAAACTTACATAAAATTCCTTCCTATGAAAAACTCTGCAACATTTTCCATGCCCACTCTGTCATGGGAGACGAAAACGATGACGGTTTCGACCGCAGACTATCCGTCATTTTAGTTGGCATGGGATCGGCAGCCTTGATCGTAACAATCTACCATTGTATCGCCACGGGTTGGTGGCGTCGATACCATAATAACCTCCTAGGCCAAACATCGCAGCGAGAGCAACAAGACCAACAACAACGACAATATGGTTTCGGACATCAAGTGTTGGAGATTACAAGCTTGGAGACTTCGACGGCCGAACTCATCCCAGCCCACAAGTACCGAAAGGGCTCCGGTTTGGTCGACGATGACGGTATGTGTGCGGTGTGCTTGACTCAATTCGAAGAAGACGAAGAGTTGAAGACGTTGCCGGGATGCTCGCATTCTTACCATGCACCATGTATAGATATGTGGCTTTACTCGCATTCTAGCTGCCCCCATGTGTCGTACCGATGCCACGCCGTCGCCGCAGATATCGCAGCATCAGTCGGGTTCCGGTTCCGGCCATTTGGATAGAGATATGTTGTGACCATTTCAGGGTTCATTGTTTCATAACAAAAACTTTCCTTTTATCTTTCTACTTGCAAGACAAAAAACAATGAAATTACACTATTAGTTCTTAAGTTCTTTAGATTTTATAGTTTAAACTCTAAAGTTTACCTTATATTCAATTTAATCACTAGCTTCAACAATATTTAAGAAAAGCTTATAAACGAGTTGATAAATAAAGTACTAAAAAAACTTGTTCGTGAATATAAACAAATCGAACACACCTCTATTTATGTTAATTCGTCTGTTAACCTCCCAAACACCACAAGAATCATTGTGCTCATGTGACGTCGTACATGCTCGATATTAGTGAGAATACGCTCACAAGTTAAGAACCAAAGAAAGATTTTGATCCATTGTAAACCACGATAACTCGATATAACCTCCCAAGCTTTATGTGGTTATCGATTGGTTCTCCTAATCTCATGTCATAAGTAGATTTAACCTAGAAACAGCGATCAGCTCTCCATTTCCAGCCCAACAAATCCTTCCTATTACTCGGCGACGGAGGCATCATAGCTGCCAAACGGAGCAAAATAGAATCCGGCGGAAGATTGTTAAGAATTATCCAACTCCGCTAGTCATTCCGATCAACCATGGAAGCAACATTCCGGCTAGGAAGTGAGTTTCTCATCAACTGTTCCACAACATGATCCTTTAACGGGCCCAAATCGCTAAGCCACGCTTCACTCCCAGAAGTCAACACTACGACCATAATCATAGCCACATTATTCACACTAACAAACATGAATACCATGGTAGGGAAATATGATTTTCACCAATATTCTCGCACTCCGCTCCGACAATTGCTGGTTCTGAACATGGTGCAAAAGTCACAATAATTGCTCTAAAATGCCGGCGGCCATTAAAGTGTGTTGAAGAACCAGTTAGATTCCCCTAATTTTTGTTACATGCATAGGTTTTTAATGCAACTGTTTCAAGGTTGAAAATATGTCAAGGTTGACTTACTGTGCCCAAACTTTTGTCGGCTAGGTTAAAGTTAGGTTCGGATTAAGCTAACGGGTTTACAAAGTAGTATATGCTCTAAATACTCTCAATTATTTGACAATTAACGCTCAATCACTCTGATATAGTTGTTGGTGTTCGAACCCATGCCCTTTAAAAACAACAACGATTTCTTGAACCAATGAGGTAAGTTTGTTCGTCCAACAATTATATATGTTTTTTTAATTTGAGATAAAATTAATAGTGTTATGATATGACAGTGTTGGTGTATACCAAAAAATACTATTTTGTTAAATTGATGCTAGAATAGGTGTCAAAACTTAATTGATACCAATTCACTAGGAGCAATTATATTTTTTAGGCTTAATATAAAATAAGTGTTTAAAATATACTTAAAATTAACTTTTGGTGACTAAAGAATTTTTAGTTAAAAATAGGTGTCTAATGTTTTATCAGTTACATTTTTAGGTGTCTACCGTTAAAAAAACGTTAAATGAAACGTATCACATCCATTTTTTAAAATATAATATTATTTAAAAATATTTTTTTTAAAAAATCTAGACATGACACGTGTTACTTAATGGTTTTTTTAACGAATAGACACCTAAAAGTTTAACGAAAAAACTTTAGGCACATATATTTAAAGAAAAATTCTTTAGGCACTAAAATGTTTTTCGAGAACTTCTTTAGTCATTTATTTTGTATTAAACATATTTTTCAATTCGTGATAAATTAATAATGTTATGAAATCACAGGTGTACCAAAATAATACTATTTTGTTAAATTGATAAAATTTAATTGTGTAAATTACACGTTTAGTACATAAACTATTAGTTTTGATCTATTTTAGTGCCTAAACTTTCAATTTTTTTAAAATCGTGCTTAATGCTTAGTTTTTGTTTCATTTTAGTACCCCCGTTATTAAAATTTAATGTTAAACTTTTAATATGGGTACTAAAATGAAACAAAAACTAAACTTGAGGTACAATTTTGAGAAAAATATAAAGTTTAGATGCTAAAACGGATCAAACTGATAGTTTATGTTCTAAATGTGTATTTATGTATTGATTCCTCTAGTTTTCAATTAATTCGGATATTAGGGTTGAATATAAGTATCTAATTGGTACACTCTTGTTCAGAAATGGACCGAGAGAGGAGCGATTGTGGTAGTTGTCTCATAAAAATATCAAATTATCATGTATTTTATCTAATTGGTACACTCTTTTTCAGAAATGGATCGAGAGAGGAGCGATTGTGGTAGTTGTCTCATAAAAATATCAAATTATCATGTATTTAAATATTTTATTTTTTTTATTAATAATCAATTTTCGTAAATTCATCTCTCTCTTGAAATATTAAAAGCTTTCCCTTAAATATAAAAGGCATAATACCAAAATTAGCCCCTATCATTTATTAAAATAGTCGTTTTGATCTCAATTTCCTTTTTAGAACATTTTAGCATCCAACGTTTTATTTTGAGGTAAAAAGATCCCTCTACGATTGAAAACATTTAATTAACAAACGGTTAACACTTTTAAAAAATATCACTTTTACCCTAAATTAAAATATTTAAGGTCAAAATATTCTAGAAAAAGAATATAAACTAAAGTAATCATTTTAAATAATGTTGAAAGTTTTTTTTAACATAAAATCTTACTTAAATCGCTATTTATATTTATTTATTTTGATCATAGAGGCTTTGCATAATTAGACTTGTGTACAGACAACATGATCGTAAGACATGGATATTTTGAATTCCCCAAAATAATTTTCTGATCAACCAGAGAAAGACACGTGGAAAGCTAATGTGAAAGGCCGAAAGAGTTGCCATTTCACCAGCAGAGCGCGTGCAGCACAAAAGCCAATGAGTGGGAACTGAAAAAGGCAGGCACCTGGTGTGCAAAAACTAGCTTAAACTGTGAAAGTGGGGACAGTGAGACTGAAGAAAGTCTTGTTTAACGTTATTACATTTCCATTGCTCCTCTCGTGCACCCCTTTACATGTATACGGTATACGGAGGTATATCGGATTTAGGGGTGGGCATAGATCGGGTTAGAACGGATTCTTAATCAATTTGATTCGATTTAAAAAATATACGTAGTCTTTTTTTATCCAAAAATATATATATCATCTATCTAAATTGAACTCGACTCGTTCTTTTGAGATAAAATTTAAATCCAAACTAATTAGATTGAAATAATATATTTATAAAAAAAACTATTTTTATTTAATAAAAAATGGATGTTTAATTGAAAAAAAATAATATATAGAGGAATATTATTGAAATTATTTTTGAATCGGATTAAATATTTTTCACTCTGAACCTGAAACTTAACTCTACTTGAACATAACCTCAAAAAAATCGATCCGAACCTGAAATTCAACTTGACTTTTAACGTAAAAACTCACACCCAACGTGACTGGATGAAAAGAAATCAAATGTTAGGATTAACAATAAGAAATGAGAAAATATTTAATCGAAAAAATAATAAGGAGTTAACCTCAATATTTGATTTCTCCTCATCAAACGATCCTAAAATGGATGAGATTAACTCTTTTACTTTTACACATTTTTAAGACCATTGGATGAGATAAAATAAAAACTGAGATTAACAGTAAAAAATTAGAAGATATTCACTTAAAAAAATAAGAAGTTCATATCAACCTTTGATTTCTCTCTCTCAATATATGTTATTACAATTAGCTCTAAATATATAAGAAATCAATTAGACTATTATTTCTGGATCGGGTTAGATAGAGTATTTTTTTAATCTTAAAACTCAACTTGACTCAAATTTTTAAGGAAAAACAATCATATAAGATTAGAATAGGGATCAACATGGGTCGGGTCAGATCAGATTTTCAGTTCACCCGTCCCAACTCGAAAATTATAAATTCTCCACAAACTCGAACCCAACTCGATTTTTATGATAAAATCCAAATTCGACTCGACCTAAAATAATATATTTATTAAAAATATTATTTTTATTAAATAAAAATATGAATTTAATTAAAAGAAAATAATGAGGGTATTATTGTAATTATTTATAAATATATAACCTAAAATTACAATTTCTTTTAAATATGATTAAGTATTTTTACCCTAACTCAAATTTGACCCGAACAAATTTTTTTATTAAAAATTTAACTCAATCAAATATAGTCATATCAAATCGAAACCGGTCAAATTTAAGTATCATGCCCATCCCTAAATCAGATTAAACAGAGTCAAACTTAAATCAAAATATTCATTTCTATTTTACTTCAAATATCTAATACTTTGTGTAATACTCATCCTTCTTTTTATATCTTTTCTCACCATTAGTGTAGACGAGTAGTGTTGCTTTAGTTTAGGTTTTAACCCATTTGATTTTATTCCTTCTCGTAGCTTGTTATCGTTGACTTCTGTGTATCATTATCTTCATGTTTCCTTTTTTTAAATTTAGTCAGGTCTTACGTTTCTTTCTATATGCAGATATTTTTATGTAAAAATTTATTTGCAGGGATTACTTCCCATTACAGACGCGCATATAAAGACTGCATAAGAAGACTGTTCAATTATGTATTTATATATTTATTTATACATGCATTATATTGTATCTTTATTTTAAATTTTCTAACTGCTGAATGTATTCCACGAAAGTTGCTCTCAACCATGACGTTGGACAGCCTAGTACACCTCCTCCCCTTACCTAATCGCATATGAAAATAGGATTTGTTGTCGTCGTCGTACTTTCCATTCTTTCCCAAACAGTTCCCCTATCATTTCCTCCTCATCCCATTTCCCATGACTCCCAGCTCTGTCCCCCGTGACTCACCTTCCCTTCCTCTCCTCCAAATTCCTTCCTCTTTCTTCTCATGATTCTCCCAACTTTCCTCCAATCGCTAAACAACCACAGCTTTTCATCATCATCATTATGCGGTCGCCGCATGCTTTCCGCAACAACGACACACCTTCCTCGCACCACCGGAACCCCGCCCCTCACTTCCACAACACCGCC